AGATAGATAGATAGATAGATAGATAGATAGATAGATAGATAGATAGATAGATAGATAGATAGATAGATAGATAGATAGATAGATAGATAGATAGATAGATAGATAGATAGATAGATAGATAGATAAAGTAACAAGATATAGGGTAAAACAGTTAATATAACCTCTTACCAGTTTGTCCATAAACTGATTTTTTTTAAGTTATCCGTTTTGTAAGCCCGTACAAGGAAATAAATCTACACCTTGGGATTCATTTCAAGCACGCATCGTATAGTCGCAATTGTATGGGCATTTTTACACGAAACGGAAGGGGCGCATACAGTTAAGGACGTTTAAAGTGGTTTGGATGGAGCGATCCAGCGTAGGCGGCACTTTTATTCTCCCTTTGTGTTCAGGGGCGTAATTCTCGGCACACTTCAGAGTTTATTTAGTGGAAATGTTTTTCTTTTTTTTTAAAGCTTCGACGCCCCCGGTTGAACTGACTCTAATGCCTATGCACATATGTGGCTTCATATGTACATATTTTGAGTTTAATGTATCAATTGTATGTTTTTAAAAAGTAACTACAATTTCCTCTCGTTTATATACTTTAACCAATGTTTTTTTTCTAAATTTTAAATTAAATTTTCTTCAATCATTTGCAAGGGTTCACAGTCTAAAGAATAATTTTGAATTTCATTATTTATTTTATTAACTCCTAAAGGTTAATGTATTTTAAAAAAAAAAAAAAAAAAGCTTTAATTTTTTCTAAATTTTAAATTTAATTTTCTTTAATTTTTTGCAAGGGTTTAAAATTTAAAGAATAATTTTGAATTTTATTTTTTATTTTATTAACTCCTAAAGGTTAATTTATTTTAAAAAAAAAAAAAAAAAAAAGCTTTAATACTCAATATGTACTTCGGCACTCATTTATCAGTCATAAATATATTAGAAAAATGTGTGTTTATTAAAGTCGAATCAATAATTCAGTCTTAAATCTTAACATTATAGGAAAAATTACATATTCTCAAAATAAAAGCATTTAAAGTTTAAATATCTAACATTGTTATGCTAAGAGTTAAGGAATACATAGTTCCACTCGGCTGTGCAGTCAGCATACACATATTTTAAAAAAAAATAGCTTCATCAGGATCTATGTTATTTTTACAGATCCAATTAAATTAAATTAATTAATCTATATCTAAAATATAATACCGACATACTTTACATAATTTCATTAAAAATTATATTTCTACATGCCATTATTTTCTTATTTAAAAAAAAAAAAAACTGAAAATACTTTGTAAAAGTTGGTAAGTGCTCCACCCACGTTGAAATGTTTATTTCATCTTGTAGTACCCTGTGGTATAAATAGAATAATCCTTTATCCACTTGACATACTTTTCAACTCCTGTTGCTTCTAGGTCATCAAGAGTGGGTTTTTAAAAAAAAATTAAGGTTGCATTCTATGATTCACGCCCTTGTGACAGACAGTCTGGAATATGTGATAAAGGGCGTGATGGATACAGTGACCCAACAATTTGTAACACTTGAACTATCTTAAATGTATCTCACGTTGTGATGAAATTAAGGAAGTATATTTTTATATCAACAAATTTACTGGCGAAATCAATTTAGGGAATTAAAAATAGGAACAAAAAAAACCTATGGATGAAACAATATTTTACATTTGATTGGGAAAGGTAAATTTTGACACGTATAGTACACAGTTAATTTATGCTGTAATAGTATTACACGCATTAGTTCATTTGATAATTTAGCAAATGCATTTAGTTTGTGTGATTCTTTATATCATTCATATCTCATTCATTTCGAACTCTATTATGCATCCCGTTTCTCATTTTGCCATCCCATTCTCTCATTGTCTGTCAAAATTTGAAAAATTGCAATGTACAAATCCAGAGAAGTGTCATTGATATATTTTTTTTTTTTTTAAATCCGCATGGTTGTCATTAATGTTTGTTTTATAGCAATAGTGGCCAACCAAGGATTCGTGCCACCTGCGGGGGATTAAAGAGAAAATGCATCCCGTTTCTCATTTTGCCATCCCATTCTCTCATTGTCTGTCAAAATTTGAAAAATTGCAATGTACAAATCCAGAGAAGTGTCATTGATATATTTTTTTTTTTTTTTAAATCCGCATGGTTGTCATTAATGTTTGTTTTATAGCAATAGTGGCCAACCAAGGATTCGTGCCACCTGCGGGGGATTAAAGAGAAAGTTTTGTGGCCATAGTTTAAAAAAAAAAATAATAACCCTGCGAATGGCGCAAAAATTACGCCGCTTGAAATAATGAAACATTAGCCACGTGGAGAGCGCCCAACTTCGCAACAGTAATAACGATTATACAAAGTCCACTGAGCTTCCACGTC